CTCTCTCTCTCGTGGTCTGCTGATGCAGTGAAGTCAGATAGCGAGAGGGTGAGAGGGAGATGGTGGACTGAGAAGAGGAAGAAGAAGAACTCTCTCTCTCTCTCTCTCAACTAACCTGTGAAGCTGGCGCTGTGCTGCAGGTACCTCGAAGACGAAGCTGGAGCTATGGCGCTGCAGGTAAGTCTCCCTGGCCTCCGCCCAATCTCTCTCTCTCTAGTACTGCTCTAGCTCCTATGGCGCCCAGCGCTGAAGACTACTGCTAACGCTACTAGCGCCCAGCGCTGAAGACTACTGTTAGTGCTACAACTACTCCTGCAGCGCTCCTCCAGAGTGCTGCTGCCGAATCCTGAAGACTACCTCCTGCCTCCTGAACTGCATGTGAGGTGCCTGGGAAGTACCTAGGAACTACCTCCCTGCCTGCAGGGAGGGCCAGTCCTATAGTGTTGGCCCGTCCAGGAGGCTGCTCTTGCCAATGCTGAAACGTGCCAGACCCTGGCATTGAAGCTCAACCAGGGGTTGTCTTGAAAAAAGGCCCAATATGGCCTGTGCTAAAACCCTGGTTTGGTGCCTGAGTTTCAAGGCGGGTCGATCTGATGAGGGCCTGAAAATGACCCTCAGTTTCAGGCTGAAAAGACTCAGGGCTGGAAAGGCCCTGATTTAGGCTGAAACGACACAGGGCCTGTAGGCCCTTGTTTTCAGGCTTTCAGGCTGAAACGACACGGGGCCTGTAGGCCCTTGTTTTCAGGCTTTTGGCCTGAAAACGTCACGGGCCTGAAAGTGACCCGTGCAGCCTGTTGCAGGCGCAGCATGTAACCGGGAGAGAGAGGGATGGGGAGAGAATGAGAGAGAGAGAGAGGCAGTCGGGTGCAGTTTTGACCTCTTGGGATAACCAAAGAGGTTTGGTGCAGAGAGAGAGAGAGAGGGGGGGTGAGGGGAGGGGAAGCCGGGCACAATAGCTGAAATGTGAGCACAAATAGGAGGTAGGGGGAGAGGGAGAGAGGGGCAGAGTAGAAAGAATCAGACGAGGGACAGGGAGAGAGAGAGAGAGGAATAAACAGGCAGGTCAGCACATAGATAGATGGGCATACAGGCAAACAGACGGACAGCCGTAATGTTATGAACTTGGTTGTCTAACGATTTTTACCGCCACTCACACACAGACAATCTCATACACGCCCATACATGCACAAGAGAAGGGGGAGAGGAGACAGAGTCCACACTGCACACAGATCAAAGTAGGCAGCGGAAAACAGTTATGCACGGATGGGGAGAAGACACAGTGTTTCTCTCTCTCTGACAAACTCCCAACAATCAATCACAAGTATAACCTGCGAGGATAACAATTGAAATTGCACTGATGATGAGCCAACTCAAACAATTATCGTAACAGAGTTTGTTCCAGTATCTCGCCACTCTCAGAACTCACACCCCACTCTCTATCCTACACCCAGTTAATAGCGCCACATCAGAATGGCCTCCCAGAGGCCAACGCCAACCACCCTGACGAAGAACAGGTCCTGCGATGAAGTCTCCAGTGCTGATGGACAACTCTGACAAAGGAACAGGCAGCTATGGCTGCCACCACCCACGAGTACACAGTGTAGAGCCTCGATATAGCCCGGCCAGCCGTAGATACCCCAGGGGTAGATGCGCTGAGGATGCCCCAGCTATGGCAGGCTCAGACTGGGCTGGCTATGGCTGCTGTCAACAGCGAGGTCTCAGGATGCCGCCTGCAGACCAACTCTGCCACCAACTTGCTTGGCTTCTCCAACGCTGCTTCGCGAGAAATGAACTGCCAAAAGTCCTGAACCGATGGGCCTTACCTATCTATAGACTACACCAGACCTAAACCGGACTGACTAATCGACCGGTACCATTGCTGTTTCGGCCTCTTGGCCTCTACCGGACCTAGCTATAGGCTATAGGACCGTCTATCAGTATAGGCCACTTAGGGCCTGTCTGTCCTAGGGGTAGCCCGGGCCTGCTATACGCAGTTAGGGTAGCTGTAGGAATTCGAGTTAGTACTGGGCCTATTTTCCCCAGATTTGTAGATATGTCCCTCACGAATTTCCTTACAGGTAGGTCTCTCGGTTAGCCCTCAGCCAAACAAAATTGTGAATCTAACCTGTTGCTGTACTATACAGCCTCGCAGTCAGTCTCGACAGTCAGAATCAGCAAGTCATTGCAGGCTTACCCTCCCCGGGAGCGAGGACCTCCGAGCTAGGGGTGTAGGCGAGGTGAACGGCGAGGAAGGTTTCCCTTCTGAGCCGCTTCGTATCGCAGGACAACTGACTTTGCTGTCTCGAGAAGTTCCCTTCTGTGGAACCATCTGTTCTCAGAAGGAGGCTGGAATGCAAACCTCACAAGATACTGTCGGTCGGGGCTGGTGCCCCACTCATCCTCAATCCATTCCACGTCATACCCCTTGTCAGCGAACGGTGGACCAAACTGAGGGGGCCGGTCTGGGAATGCATCAGCTGGAGTGAAAGGTAACAGCTTGGATGCATGAAAGACCGGGTAGGTGCGTAGATGCAGAGGGACGTGGATAACGTATGACGGACCGAAGGGATCAACGCCCACTGTATCTAGGACCTGCCATGGACCCAAGTAACGTAGAAACAGCTTAGGGGAGATATCCTCCTCCCTCGACAGCTCAGAACTGGCCACCCATATATAGTCACCAGTGCGGATGGGGGAAGGCCGCCTGTGGCGATTCACTTGTTCAACCATAGCCTTTTGGGCTTTGAACAAGTTTGCGCGGGCCCTTTCCACATCTAGACGATAGCGTCTGGTGAACTCTGTTGTGCCTGGTGTCAGATCAGGCTTAGCCTTATCGATGATGTCATCGAGAGGCTGTCGTGGTTCACGTCCCCAATGTAACCGGTAGGGACTGAACCTTGTCGAGGAGTGGACAGACATGTTATACATGAGTTGTGCCCTAGCCAAGTGAAGATCCCAGTCCTGCTGATCTGGAGATATGACAGGACGCAGCAATTGGAATAAGACTTGGTTCATCATCTCAACCTGACCATTGGCTTCAGGATGATGACCAGAAGTCATGTCCAATTGTGAGTGCAGGTAATCCTTACAATAGGACTGCCACTCATCGCTGCAAAATCTGGGGTCTCTGTCATTGACTATAGAAGTGGGCGGTCCATGGTGAGTGACCCACCTCTCAGAAAAGGCTGCTCTCACAGTCGGAACCCTAGCTACCTCTGGCAAGGGGATGAACTCTGCGTACTTGGAGAACCTGTCCACGCAGACTATAACCTAACGCATGCCACGAGGGGTGGTCTTGCCTAAATCTGTGAAGTTTATCGCCACAGATTCAGCAGGGCCATCAGGTATGGGTAAGGGTTTGAGCAGTCCCAAAGGAGGTTTACGATGAACCTTATTCCTTTGGCAGAGCTCACAGGTGTCCACATAACGCAGCATATCACTCCGCATCTCCTTCCAGAAGAAGCGCTGCGACAGGGCTGCATATGACTTGAGGAACCCAAAATGACCACGGGCATCATGACACTCTGACATCAGTAGTGTCCTGAGTTGTTGGTCCTGGGGAATGCACAAGCGCTCCTCACCTCTACTGTAGGCAGTAGTGTCCTGAGTTGTTGGTCCTGGGGAATGCACAAGCGCTCCTCACCTCAACTGTAGGTATACAGCAGGTCTGAACTCAGAGCCTATCCTGGTTCAGAGTTAGGATCCGCTTGCAGACTCCTGACAATGGGTCCGAAAGTCTCATCCTGAGGCAGTAGACGAGCAATGGTCTGACGGGTCTCCTCTCCAAAGGAGTGAGTAGAGGAGATCGGCGCAAAAGAGTCAGGCCTACGAGAGAGGGCATCTGCTACCTTGTTGTAGCAGCCCTTCTTATGCTTCAGTTCAAAGTCAAACATGTCAATGAACTGAATATATCGTGCCAACTTATCATTCAACTTTCCCTGGGACTTCATCCACTGAAGGGTGGAGTGATTTGAGAAGATCTTGAAGTGTCTTCCCAGGAGAAAGTGTTTCCAGTGTTTCAGGGCACAGACAAGAGCGTATAGCTCTTTCTCGTAGGTGGAGTCCTGGAGCTTTTGAGTCTTGATCTTCTTACTCATAAACTCTACAGGTCGTAGACCATTCCCATCATCCTGCTGAAGAACTGCCCCAATGCCATACTGACTGGCGTCAGTGGTCAGGATGAATGGCAAAGTGGGGTCAGGTAACTTCAGCATGGGCGCACGAGTCAAGGCCTTCTTGAGTCGTATGAAGGCCAACTGACAGGGAAGGGACCAAAGAAAGGGAGTATCTTTCTTTGTTAGGTTGGTCAGGGATGCAGCCACTGCAGAAAAGTTCCTGACAAACTTTCTGTAGTACGAGGCTAGACCCATGAAGGACCTGACATCCCTCACTGTCTGTGGCTGAGGCCACTCCTGAATAGCAGCAATTTTGGCTGCTTCAGGAGTCGGGCCATCTCCAGAGATTACATGACCCAGATAGATTACAGAGGGAACTCCAAAAGAGGATTTCTCTCTGTTGATCTTGTACAGGCTGTCACGTAACGACTGAAGGACCAGAGCCAAGTGCTCCACATGTTCCCTGGCGGTTTTGCTGAATACCAGGATGTCATCCAGGTAGACAACCATAAACTTGTCCAGGTAAGGCCTGAAGATGCGGTACATCTCTGTCTGGAAGGTGCCTGGGGCGTTGCAAAGTCTGAATGGCATAACCAGGAACTCATAAATCCCATACCTGGTCTTGAAGGCTATCTTGTAGACATCCTCCTCTGCCATCTCAATCTGGTGGTAGCCAGATTTGAGGTCGACTTTGCTGAACACTGTGCAGCCCTGCACCATGTCCAGGAGGTCATCAATCCTAGGAAGTGGCTCAGTACTCTTCCCAGTGATCTTGTTGAGACCCCTATAGTCAATGCACATTCTGAACTCGCCGTTCCCTTTGGGCATAAAGAGAACAGGTGCACCGAATTCAGAAGTGTTGCGTCTGATCCATCCCTTGCTGGTCAGGGTCTCAAGCTGCTTTCTGGGCTCCTCTAGCTCAGCAGGGAACATCTTGTAGATGCGGCCCTTAGGAGGGACCGCTCCAGGCAGCAGCTCGATGTGATGCTTGGTTGGCCAGTTGGGTAACCCAAAGGGCTCCTTCGTCAGATCAGCATACTGATCTACCACCTGTTGTATCTCAGGAGGACAGGAAACAGGGGGAGCATGTGTTTGCTTGACCAAAGCAATAAACAGACGCTCGTGGTGATACCGGCGTGAGAGATCATGAAACTCTCTCGCTCTCAGGCAGTAGCAAGATGTCTTAAGGTGGTGATCAGCAGCAATCATGCATGGCTGATACACCCCCTGGCTATTAGGTAGCTCAACCTTTGGGATCTGCCAGTCGATCCTTGGGTTGACTGCCTTCAGCCACTGCATGGAGAACACCAAGTCAAAGGGTAGCTCAGGGAAGATGTAGAAGTTCAGACTATGTCTGACTTCTCCAGCACTGTCGAAGGTCACAGGGATACCCTGGACCTTCTCCCTGATGCTCGGTACTGTAGAGTCGTCAATCCTCACTAGCAGCGGTTGCTGCAGCTGTTGTACTTTCATGCGCAGATGCAGCTTTTTAACTGCACTGGGAGATATGAAGTTCCTGGTAGCTCCACAGTCCAAGAACCCAGTGATCCTGATGCGGTTGATCAGGGGTCGAAGCATGATGAGATCAGACTTGCGCTTCTTCTGTTCCTTCAGGTGAAGGAAGAAGGTTGCAAGTGACTGAAGCTCATCCTGCCCCGGGTCCTGATCCGGGTCAGGATCCTCATAGCAAAAGGATGTTGCCCGCGCAGTCCCCAAACAAACATTGTCACCTACAGTCTCAATTGAAACAGCTGCAGATTCATCTACCTGAGTAGATGAAGGTGCAACACTGGAAACTGCAGTCCCCAGGGTCTGTTTCAGTTTTTTGACTGACCTGGGCCTGGCATGTAAGGGCAGTTCCTCACATCTCCGCCAGACCCCTCGCTCCTTCCTTCTTCTCCAGACTCCCTCCTGGATCTTGAGGTCATGCCATGGTGTGGAGGGATTGAGAGGGTCAGCTGGCATGCGGACGTCTCTGGGCAAGTTAGGGCGCTGGGAAGAGGAAGGCCGACGTCCCTTTTCCTTCCCCTTTGCACTGGTTGAGGCTGTGGTGGGGGAAAAAAAATTCTACTGCTGCAGAACTCCTAAAACAGCCTGAGTCAGGTCTGCTGCAACGTCTGTCTCAGGAGCAGATCCAGTCCCAGTTGAAGGTGCATCAGCCTGGGAATCTTAATTTGAACCTGACGCAGATCCCGCATGAGTAAAGGCTGCCTTTCCCTTTCTGCCACCTCTAGGGAAGGCACCTTTCCTCCTGTCCGAGGATGGGGCCTGGACATGAAGCTTTGCCTCCATGTCCAGCGCTGCACGGCCAAAGGACCTCCAGTCCTTGTGCCCAGCGCTATACAAAGCAACAACAAACTTCTCAGGCGCTGCCCTGCAGAAGTTGGTCAGCAGATCATCTCTGGACATGACCAACCCAGGGGTGGAGGTAAGTTGCTTGAACTCAGTAAACAAGGTCTGCAGGGTACCGCTGTACCGCTGCTGTCCTAGGCGAGCAATCCTGTCAGCAGCCTTGCTGGCCCGCTCCTTGTCTGCAAATCGGTCCTCCAGGGTCTGCAGAAGTCTGTCCACCCCAAGCCCAAAAGTCCAGTCCTCCATGGACTGCTGCAGACTGCTGGAGGTTGAGGTGGCCCACTTCAGAGCGGGTCCCTCCAGCAGTCCCAGAACAGTCCCCGCCTTGGTCTGCTCTGCACAGACAAAGCCCCTCAAGTAGGCTTTGGTCCCAGCAGCCCAGTCCCCAACATCGGTCTTGGGGTCATCACCCCTAAACTTGTTGGGAGGAGGGATCTTGGGACCTCTTTGGTCTCCTGCAGTAACAGCCGCATAGGTGGCCTTGCCTGCGGCCTTTTGGGAATGAGATGGTGACCGGGAATAATGTGCTGAACCAGGGGGGGTTGAAGGACGAGAAGGAGGAGAAGGTTTGGGTTTCAGCAGAGGGAGCTGAGGGGCAATCAGCTTGGCGGTTGACAGCTGAGCAGTCAAGTTCTGAATCGCGTCCAGAATCTTGGACTGCTGAGCTGCCAGGTCGTCAACCCGACGCTCCAAACGCTCAAAGCGGTCATCCCAGTTCGTAAAATAGAAACTGGTGATCTTGTGCTCCAGGATGATAGTCTCTGCAAGGTGTTTAGTCACCTGTGCACAACGGTCATCTGTGAGCACCTTGTCCAGCTGCTGCAACAGATAGTCCCTTCTGGAATTATCTGTTGCAGCCTCTAGCTCAGTTGCCTCCTGACGTTCCAATTCTGCAAGACGGTCCTGTTGCCACCGCAGTTGTTCTTGCAGCTCCTTCTTTTCCTGCTGAGTAGCAGTCAGAGGTGGAGAAGGAGGAGTGGAGGTTGAAGGCTGTTGACCTTCGACCTTCATCACAACTTCCACCTGTGGCCGTTGCTAAGCCCCATGATCAGACATTTTCCTTTTCAAATAAAATCAAAAACCAAATTACAACAGCAACCTGAGTGTGCAGCGATAATCAGATTCCTTCAGACACTCTGGAATCGCTGCAAAACTCAGACACTGGAACATGTGGGTGTATAGGCAATCAACGATTTGGGTTGGAAGGGTGTCTCTGGGGTCAGATGTCAGACAGACTGTAAGTCCAGCAAAATCATACACACGATTTCCTTTTACTGACCCTGCACCACACTAGAGTTAGTAGAATCACTCCACTACTCTTCCAGAGACTCACTAGGATTTCCAGTACCCACTAGAAAACAAGTGTAATCAGTGAGACTGGTAAATATGGTTAGTATAGACAAGAGAGGTCAACCAACTCAAGCGATTCAGACAGACACCCTATATCCTGACTCAGACTCCAATTTGGACCCTCATGACTCTGGCAGCCATACCCTAGGGTATGGCGAAGTACAGTATTCACTGTATCCAGTGAAATACTGTAAATCCAACTCTGGGATTCTGCAATATTGTTTATTTTTGGATTGCGATTCACTGGGGACTGACAGAATGGAATTCTGACGGACAGAATTGACGTTATGACTGACCCTAACTAGCACAGGCTATAAATAGACTCAGCGAAAAACTGGAATTCATAGTATCACTACCTTTCCGGTGCAGAATTCACAATTTGACCATCCCAGAATAATCGCAATGCAGTAAAGCAGTCACATAACAATTTTGGATCAGAAAGAGTCAACAAAGGATGAAAAATGAGCAGAGAAAGGTAGGGGAGAGATAGCTATGGTTGTCATGAAGTTTGCGATTTTCACATTCAGTCACTAACAGACAGATAGACCATTATAATTCACTAATCTAATCCTATCTGGATCACTATGCAGGTATGTGCATGGAAAGGACTCACTTTCAGAGAATCTTCCAGGCGATGATGAAGATCTGGCTATGGCAGATGATAACCCTTATCTCGCCAATTTCCTCCAGATATTCCTCCAGATAATCCCACGCATAGAACTGCTTCAAACTTGTTGATCCTCCTCAGGATCCTTTAGCGTTGCATACCCTCAACCCAGATGCACTGTATCTGGTCATGTGGCGCTCAGATAGCCAACAACAAAATATCTCGCCACAGTGCCTGGTAGCCACTGATGCTAAAAATAGCCCCAGATGGGGTTATTCCTCCTGGAGATTGATACAGACTATCAATCTCTGCCAGCGCTACTCAGGGATGATGCCGCTCAGGGTCCCTCGATGTCCTCAGGGGTAATTCGCCACTCTGGGGTAATTCGCAACACTACCCTCAGGGTTGGCTATGGCGAATTAGCCCTGTACTCGCCACTTTCTGACAAGCGCCCTGACAGGCTCAGTGCGCTTGCTCAGTACAATCACTGAGCACCTGAATCCACCATTGAAAGTCTTCTTCGCTGCAGACTTAGTACTGGGGAAGATGAATTGCCATGAAACTCTCGTCAGTAGATCGCCAGATGAAGAAGATGCCTCAGTGCGCTCAACCCTCAGTGTCCCAATTCCAATCCCAGCTCCGATACCAACTGTTATGAACTTGGTTGTCTGACGATTTTTACCGCCACTCACACACAGACGATCTCATAAACGCCCATACATGCACAAGAGAAGGGGGAGAGGAGACAGGGTCCACACTGCATACATATCAAAGTAGGCAGCGGAAAACAGCTATGCACAGATGGGGAGAAGACACACAGTGTTTCTCTCTCTCTGATAAACTCCCAACAACCAATCACAAGTAGAACCTGCGAGGATAACAATTGAAATTGCACTGATGATGAGCCAACTCAAACAATTATTGAAACAGAGTTTGTTCTAGTATCTCGCCACTCTCAGAACTCACACCCCACTCTCTATCCTACACCCAGTTAGTAGCGCCACATCAGAATGGCCTCCTAGAGGCCAGCGCCAACCACCCTGATGAAGAACAGGTCTTGCGATGAAGTCTTCAGTGTCGATGGACAACTCTGACGAAGGGACAGGGAGCTATGGCTGCCACCACCCACGAGTACACAGTGTAGAGCCTTGATATAGCCCGATCAGTCGCAGATACCCCAGGGGTAGATGCGTTGAGGATGCCCCAGCTATGGCAGGCTCGAACTGGGCTGGCTATGGCTGCCGTCAACGGCGAGGTCTCAGAATGCCGCCTGCAGACCAACTCCGCCACCAACTTGCTTGGTTTATCCAACGCTGCTTCGCGAGAAATGAACTGCCAAAAGTCCTGAACCGATGGGCCTCACCTATCTATAGACTACACTAGACCTAGACCAGACTGACTGACCGACCGGTACCGTTGCTGTTTCGGCCTCTCGGCCTCTACTGGACCCGCCTATAGGCTATAGGACCGTCTATTAGTATAGGCCACTTAGGGCCTGTCTGTTCTAGGGGTAGCCCGGGCCTGCTATACGCAGTTAGGGTAGCTGTAGGAATTCGAGTCAGTACTGGGCCTATTTTCCCCAGAATTGCAGATATGTCCCTCACGAATTTCCTTACAGGTAGGTCTAACGATTAGCCCTCAGCCAAACAAACTTGTGAATCTAACCTATTGCTGTACTATACAGCCTCGCAGTCAGTCTTGGCAGTCGGAATCAGCAAATCATTGTAGTAAGGCATGGGCACAACACCACAAAAATACGGAGAGAGAGAGAGATCAAGAGGGAGAGGGAGAGAGAGAACGAGTGAGAGCGAGAGAGAGAGGGAGGGGGAGATCATGAGAGAGAGAGAGGCAGTTGGGTGCAGTAACTTATCTCTTGGGATAACTGAAGAGGCTTGGTGCAGCCACAGAGAGGGGGGGGGCGTGGCGGGAGGGAAAGTCAGGCACAATAACTGAAATGTGAGCACGACTAGGAGGTAGGGGGAGATGGAGAGAGGGCCAGGATAGAAGAGGGAGAGAGCTGTCTCTTATACACATCTAGATGTGTATAAGAGACAGGCGGGAGGGAAAGTCAGGCACAATAACTGAAATGTGAGCACGACTAGGAGGTAGGGGGAGATGGAGAGAGGGCCAGGATAGAAGAGGGAGAGAGAGAGAAGGGCGGGGGGGGGTGGGGCAGAGGCAGAAGGGGGGAGAGAAAAATGCTAACTTCAGTAGGAGAAATGTCGTACAAATATACTTCCAACAGGGAGATATATGCTTTCCTACTTGAATAGTCACCAAAAAAGAACGGGCATAACATACATAGTGTAGATTTCCATACAGAGAATAGAAAACGTTGAGAGAGGCAGTCGGGTGCAGTAACTGACCTCTTGGAATAATCGAAGAGGCTTGGTGCACAAAGAGAGAGAGAGAGAGAGAGAGAAAGAGGAGGGGGGGAAGGAGGAGGGGCGGGTATGAGGGGAAGTCAGGCACAATAGCTGAAATGTGAGCACAAATAGGAGGTAAGGGGAAAGGGAGAGGGGCAGGGTTGGCAGAGGCAGAAGGGGGGCTGAGAAAAATGCTAATAGTCATCAAAAAATGAAGGTCATACCGTACATAATGTATATTTTCCATACAGAAAATAGAAGACGTTGCTAGCCAACCAACAAAAACATGGAAGACATTTCTGTTTTTTTTTTTTTTTTTTTTCCAAAATATGATTTTTTTTTAATGAAAGGAAATCGATCGCGGGATCCTTTACTTGTTTCATCTGTCTGTGTACCGGAATCGTCAAGAGGTGAATTCCTACACGAAGTTTTGCTGCTCTTTGATGGCTTCAGCCTCGTTGTCGTGATTATAAACGAACCCAAATCTATTTTTCGACATCTTGCAAATCATGTTTCCCTATCTCAGCCCTCGGCAGGTTTTCAATAAAATTTTCAAATTCATAAAAAACAATCTAAAGATCCGGTCTTAACGCATGATGCCTGCCGCACACTGCCTTCAAACCAAACTTACAGCGTCCTCACAATCCTACGATCCCAGTAGATCTTCCTATTTGTCTGAACATCCAAGTCGTGTAGATTACCTCACAACCCCCATATCCGATAGGTGGTTTACGTGTCTTACAATATTCGGGTTTTTCACGACTTTCAACAATTTCATTGTTTGTACATACTCTACTCTTTGGTACTTTCAAGAATAGCGTTTATGCATATGTTATGCCAGAGACTCTTTGGTACTTTTCAAGAATAGCGTTTATGCATATGTTATGGCATATAGCAGGGAATTTCAAAAGATTTTAAAAATTTTCATTGCTCTCAGTCTTCGAAATCTTCAACGTAGTATCTAAGCATATGTTGCTTCGACATCCAGACGGGGTGTTTAGAATTTTCAGCACATTCACAACTTCAGAGTTTTTAGAATTTTCGATATTCATATGCTTATACATTATGAAAAATTTGGGAACTTTAAAGTGGTAAAAATGCTAAACAACCCCCCTTAAAAAAAATAAAAGAAGCTGGAGGGCAAAGGCAAGTTCAAAAATTTTAATATCTTCATCATCAATATGCGTTCAGACCTCTATGAGTTTTCAAGATTTTCAACATCAATATGCATTCGGACCCCTAGGAGTTTTCAAAATCTTCATCATCAATATGCATTCGGATCCCTAAAAGGAGTGTTCAGAATCTTCAACATCAGTATGCATTTGTATCTGTAGGAATTTTCATAATTTTCAACACTCCTTCATTCAAAGTTTTTAAAATTTTCATCATTCATGTTTTTATTTTATGAAAGTTCTAAAAACCTTGAAGTGGTGAAGATGCTGAAAATTATAAATACCTCCCCTTAAAACCACCACTACCTCTATCACTCTTGGGGAAAGTAAGAAAACTGGCTGTTTTCCCACTTTTTTCGAAGTTTTCAGGGGTCTACGGAAGCTCGGCAGTTGGGCCTTGTGGGCCTGTTCGTAAAGCAAGACGAAAAACAAAAGACCAAGTCCGGGAAGGTCGTGCACAAAGTTGTGCTCACACGAATACTCACAAGTTGTGTAGCACACCAAACATGATCGGAACTTTTCCGAACATCCAAACATGTTCGGGTGTTCGGCCGAACGTCACCCGAACGTGTTCGACCGAACATATTAAAAAAAATATATATATATATATTCTTGTTTTGGTTTTTGATTTTTAACTCGAGTTTGATTACAAATTTCAGCATACCTCCAAGGCAAACGTTGATTGTATTATTATTTTACATAACATATATTGTTTTCAGATTTTTTGGAAAACGTTTTTTTAATATTTTTATATTCGCGTTCGGAGAGTTTCGGCGCTCGTTCGCGTTCGGTTCCGAACGTTCGGGTTCATTCACCGAACCCGAACACGGTGCTTCACAGCTCACAAAAAAGTATCGAACTACGATTGTGACGAGTTTCAGGTTCGTGAAGGAGGGCATGCCCACACAATAACTTTGCAAAATATTTGAGCCCGCTTTCCCGCTGTAAGTTCAATTTTGATTTTCTTTTTCCTTCTTTTTTCGTGGACCTCACACCCCTGCCGTAACGCCCTCACTGAGGGCATATTCACACAACAATTTTGGGGCAGGTATCTACCTTGTATCATGTCTAGAGAAGTGCGCATTTTTTTCTTTTTTTTTTTTAGTTGTGAGTACGTCGTTTTATTTAAAGTTTGGCCGTGTTTTTCTTTTTTTCTTTTTCAGAAGAGTACCAGAAAAGAAACACACCAAGACTCGGCAAAACCCGGTGCACTGTGAAAATCGGGGTCAGCAAAAGCAAGCTAGGAGGTAGTTGTGGTTTAACAAAAACAAAAACGGGGGGGGGGGGGAGGTTGAAATTTTTCAATACCTACATAATTTCAAAATTTTTAAAATCTTCAGCATCAACAGTTATATTCGGAGAGGTTGTTCCTATTTTTTGACATCTTCGTCATTTCAAAGTTTTCAAACGTTCATATGCTTCGAGATTTCAAAATTTAGAAGTGAAAATGCTGAAAGTTATAAACATACACCCTTCAAAACAAAAAAATAAAAAACGGAGAGGGTGGGGCGGCAGTTCAGAATTTTCAAAATCCTTAATGTCAATATGGAATCGGTCACAAATGAGCATGCATATACAGTATCTTCACCACTTCAAAATTTTAAGAATTTTTACAATTTAGACATATATGAACATAAAAGGTGTTGAAAATTTTAAGGCGGTGAAGACGCTATAAATTATAAGTATTATTTTTTGGGTTTATGAATGCACATTCAAAGAGGGGATGTTTAACATTCAACACCTTTAAACTAGTAGTACCTTTGCCACGTGGAAAAATAGCGGCCTCGGGTGGGTCTCCGACCTTTTCGGAGGCTGAAACGAAACGATGGTCGTCGATCAGATTGATCAATGGCAACCGTCGTCGGGCTCGACCTTCGAATTTTTAGGAGTTCGGAAAAACTGCCACTTTTTCATATCTTCCCAACACTGGCAGAGGTAGTAGTGGTTTAAATCGTTGAAATTCGATTTTAGAAAACTGTAAAATTGTTAAATTATTTCCGCTTCATAATTACATTCAGCGAACATTGAGCAAGTCGTTCACCACTTGTGGTGCGAAGGCATCTGCATGGTTTTTAATCATTGGTCGGTCAACGATTCCACGTCCTTAATAAATCCTGACCCTTTTCGAATGGGATCCGCCACTTTTTTTTTACACAGAGAGGCTAGCCGATCAGTTGGTCTTTCGATATGCATGTTGTGATATCGGTCTTAACTGGATCCTTTCTAAATGTCACACGAGATTACACTATTTGTTTTTAGGTAACACGGATTATTTGACCAAAATATCTGGTTAAGTTATCTGACCGGATTATTGGGGGGTTGGATCATCCAAAAATTCGGATGATAAAAAAAAAGGTTGAAAAAAAACAATAACAAAATAGAAGTGATAGTGCGCACACGAAATACAATTAAATTACATTCCTATTTCACGAAAAGCTTGATAGGGCATGAAAGGGTTAAAAGGGGGTAAGCTAAGGAATAAAGGGTTTTAAAGGAAGGATGCTTAATTCATTTTAAAATGTTGTGTTTAAATATTATCTTATTTTTCTGTTTTATTTTTTATCTTCATATCTGTTGAGATATCAAAGAAAAGTTGTTCATATCATTGTTATGAACAACGTACAGTTTTTTCATATTTTTTTGAGTTTATTTTTTTTGGTTAAAAAAACGTATATTGCGCAGACCTGAATTTTTTATATCCGGAATTAATTCAAAATTTTCATCCGGATTGAAAATTCGGATAAATTTGGTCTGTCGGATATCCGGATTTGCTACCTAGATGTTTTTCTTTAGACTAGTGTGAACCCATATTGGGGGATTATAAGAGTTAATCCCGATATCGAAAAATAGACTAGGTTCATTGTAAAAATAACGCAGGATCTCGAGCCTACACTAAAAATAACATACAATACAGAAATAGGTCGGGTCTGCATTGAATTTAGCATGGGATCTAAAAGTAATATGGATGTGCGATGAAAATAGCATAGGGTGTAAAAGTAGATCGGACCTACGCTAAAAATAGCGTAGGATCTACAAATGGACAGCGCTTGCGCTAAAAATATGCTATGACTGACAAAAGACTCGATTCTAGAAGACTAAGAGTCGGTCCCTCATTAAAATTAACGTAGGACCCTCTTTAAGTTCAACTAGAGATTTAAACCACCAGTATTTGGCCCAACTATCGTAGATTTCCTAAAATTGTGGTTTGTTAACGTTTATAGTCAATTGAATTTGGGCGCTCTTGTAGAGACTCGTAATTTTTTTTAAATTGCGGTTTGTTAACGGGTACGACTTTAGGAAGTACTGATGGTTTAAACGCTTACCCCCGCGGGTGTATATGTTCGATCCTTCTCCTGTCCGGCCATATGGCCGTGCCGGTTCGACCCCAAATGGTCGTCTTCACTTCCCCCACCCGTTTAGTATTCATTTCTAATGCGATTTTAACCAACCCTTACTAACTTAACCCTTGTGATCACGAAGGTCTAATCCAAAGACTGTAATTCAACCTTTTGGACTATCGTGCGTTCATGTCACTCCTTCAAGCAAAGTGGACTGGGGTACAACACCGTGCACCGGTTTTCATTAGTTTCTATCGATGCGTCCCGACGGTTTTCGATACAACTTGAACATTCTCCAGAGACCTACTAGGATGGGTCAACTTTCATTGATGCAATGAGTACGCCTTCATCAACACGTCGGGACGACGAAGACAAGGTGAGGAGGAGGAGGATGACGGCGACGCAAGGAGGAGGAGGAGGAGGAGGAGGAGGAGGAGGAGGAGGAGGAGAACAAGGAGAACAAGGAGCAAAAATAGGAGAGAGGATGGGAGAAAGATGAGGAAGAGGAGAATAAGGAGCTTAGACAGGGTGATTTGGATTTGTTTTTTGTTAATGAAAAGTTCAAGAAGTGAAAAAAAATGTGCGAGTCACGTGGCATGCATCAAAACAATGAAGACGAGGCGAGGAAGAGTAGGAGGACGACGACGACAACAATGACAAGGAGGAGAAGGAAGAATAAGAAGAGTTGAAGACACTGAGGAAGAAGGAGAGGAAGAGGAAGAGGGAGGATGAGGAAAAGGTGGAGGAGGAGGAGGAAGAATAAGAAGAGTTGATCACATAAATGACGACGACGAAGAAGAAAAGTAGGAGAGGAAAAACGACAAGGAGGAGGAGGTGAAGAGGGAGAGGAGAAGATAAAAAGGAAGATGATGAAAAAGAGAAGACGAGGAGGAAGAAGATGAAGAGGAGAACAACGAGGAGGTGGAAGATGACAAAGAGAAAAACGAGAAGAAAAGAAAGAAAAAAAAAGGCAGAAAGTTGAGGAAAAGAGGATGAGGAAGAGGTAGAGGAGAAGCAGGAGGAGGAAGAGGAGCAGGAAAAGGAGGAGGAGGAGGAGGAGGACGAGGAGGAATTGAAAGATAAAGAGGATTAAGAATGTACCTGCAACAGCGAGTTGGGATGATGACAATGCACAATAGACGATGAAGCAGGGTTGGGTGATGGTTGACTTTGAGAAACGGCTATCAACGACG